ACGACGACGACGACGACGACTACTACTACTACTACTACTACTACTACGATTGCAACAACAACGACAACTCCTACTAATAAAAATAATAATACGACTACTACTACCACCATAGCTATTACTAGTATTATTATTACTGCTACTACTACTACTACTACTACTACTACTACTACTACTACTACTGCTACGACTGAAGCAATTTGTAGTTTCTCTTCCTCCACCTCCTTGTCCTCCTGCTGATTTGCCTAGACGTACGATCCTCTGCTGCCACCTTCAGCTTCCTCGCAGGCATCCCGAACGTCTCCCAGCCCGCCTTGGTGCGGTTTGCTCCAATGGCATACCCGAGGATCGTGACGCCCTTGGAGTCTGCAGCCTGCCGGGACCACACCGAGTGCGGCATGCCGCTTGAATACACTGGGGCTGCGACCATAAGAAAGCTCACTCAGAGTTTGGAATCATGTGACTCGTCCGAACATGTTACTCCAGGGTCCAGCGAGCCCAGGCACAAAATTCGAATTTGAATAACGATAAAGATAATCATGACGATGGCATGAATAACAATAATGTCAATCATGATCACCATCGTCACACTAAAAATGATAAGAATACTAGAAAGAAAAATGCAAATGAAAATACGAATAATCAGAAACCTAATCATAATCATCAGCGTCAGAGTCATAATAAGAATGATGATGATAATACAAGTTGTAATAATACTGAACGACTCATATGATAGCAATAAATGAAATTATGACGATGATACGAACAATGACAATAATAAAACTACAAATAATAAGGATTACGCGGCGAAGAGGCGCACACTGTGGCCGAGCCCGGACATCGAGAGGGGACACGAAGAAGGGGCGGGAGGAGGCACGAGGCAGGACGCTCGAGGGAGGAAGGCGACGGGAGGAGGCAAGCGGCAGGAGGAGCAAGAACGAGGAGCAAGCAGAAGGCCTGAGGAGGGAGGGGCACCGACGGGAAGGAGGAAGATCTGGATCTGGGTCTGGATCTGGCGCGCCACGAGACCGGCGCGTCCCACGACGAGAAGAGCCACAGGAAAAAGCATGCATCAAGGATCCCCGCGAGGGGCTAATATAGAACGACCTGGAGCGGCCGTTCCCACAAGATGGACATCACCTGTTTGTGCTCCTGTCGGAGGGTGTCGCCAGTCCATCAGATGCTGGAGGCGATATTTTTCAATGTCAGGAGAAGGTCTCTTGGGGCAAAGCCTGGTTAGGTGGGTGGCCTTGGTCGACGAGTGGCTGCCACATTGTCGGCAGAATGCAAGTTGCCTCAATCGTCGCACAACGTGGCCTGTCCCATGTGGCATGGGGCACGGCTGCTCTGCCAGCTCCCATCGGTGCTTACTGGACGACCAACAGTATGTGCACCTACATCTGTTGTGCGCAGGAGTGCCACGACAGGGTCGTGCACTACACAGCAGGAGTTGCGCACCTATGGCAGGCAGAGCACCTATATCAGAGCTATGGCAGGGCTATGGGCAGTGCGCTTGCGCACCACACAATACGACCATGGCATTGTCGTGCACTATGAAGTGAGGAGTGCCCTCAGCTGGGCCGACCAGGGTAACTGGAGGAACGAGCCAAGGATCTCGGACCCTCTTCGGAGCCAGGGGCAACGCGGGCTCAGACAGACAATGCACAATCACCATACCAAGGTAAACAGCAAGGTTCCGAATAGGTAACTCGGCTTGCTGGATCTTCATCTCGGCGCGCGAATCCTGAGGGTGCTTCCGCGCGCCTCTCTTCGCGAATGCGTCGGCATGGGAGTTGCCGCTGGCAAGAAACAAATCACGACCATGCAAGCCATCGAGAGACTGGTGAGCGGCCACCTTGACCACGACAATTCAGTCATACCCGATGGTCTCGGCTCTACATGCACTTGGGATAATACATCGCATGGACGGCATTCCCTACACATGTTTGGCTTGGGCTTCAGCCATAAATCGATTACCCATTGGCAGTCACTGTAGAATTCAACTAAACCTGCAGGATTCGGACGACAGTTCGACTGATAAATCAATAATGCTAACAGCTCAGATACCAACACAGATGGCGCAGGAGAAGGAGAAAGATGGGGGGAAGGAGGAGGAGCGAGAGTGAGGAGCGAGAGTGAGGAGCAAGCAGAAGGCAGAAGGAAGGAGGGGGACAGAGGGGGAGGCGAAGGAGAAAGATGAGGGGAAGGAAGAGGAGGGCGGCGATGGTCTGGTTCGGCGGTGGCGGGGAAGGAGAAGGAGAAGAGGAATCACAGGAGGAAGAGGAAGAGGGAGAATGAACAGTGGCGACGAGAAGGAGGAAGGACAACGAGAAGGAGGAAAGAGAAAAGAGGGAGGAGGAAACAATACCGGCAATCATACAGGAGGGCAAGGCGAGATGGAAGGGGGCGCGGAGACGTGGCGAGTGTACTGGAAGGGAGGAGAGGCGAAGGGATCGGAGGGGACCAGCGCACTGAAGGCAACACCGCCGACGCCAGGCTTAAGTGGACAACGCCGTGCATGCCCCCGTACCCTTCCCTCCCCTTTCCCCACGACGGAAGAGGGCAAAAGGAGGAGAGACACAGGATAATGGGACAGGGGAGGGTGGAGGGCGGGAGGACGGGCGGAGGCGGGGAAGGTGCAGAGGAGGAGAGGGGAAGATGAGAGAGGAGGGGAGGAAGAGGGGGAGAGTCAGATGGACATTGGTTCGGAGTTTGGGCCCTGCTCGTTCGAGGAGGCAGCACTGCTACAGGGAGTCGAGCAACCCCACACACAGGCAAACCTCACAGTCATATAAGAGGTAGTCCGATGACCAGACGTAGCCTCCACGTCGTTCCCCGCGGAGATGTAGCCCGCGACGGCCCTCTCGTCCCCAAGCTTTGCCGCCTCCTCGGCACCAGCTCGCAGAATGCTGACTCTGGGTCACCCCACCCGTCGCCGAAACAAGCATTGTTCTTCAACCCTTTTCGTTGCCCGTGCCTGCGGCCAGGAGCGTTTGCCTGGCGTGTCGCGGCGGCGGCCAATGCGACATGCCACGCCTTGAAGGCTGATAGCGTGTCGCCCTGAAGTTTGCGTCGAAACAGAAAACGCATTGCGACGGAGACCTGGAAAGACTCGAAATGCTGACAATGTGTCGTGCTGAAGCGCAGCGGGCCAGAAGCGGCGGTGCGGCGCGCAACCGTGTACCAGCTTGTACCCAAGAACATCTCCCACCTCTTCAAGTGTCACCGCTTATTTTCTACTAGGCACAGGTGCGATCACCCACCCACATTGCAACTCGCTTCTGCAGTGTTGTATTACTGTGCTCTGATCGTCCCACCATCTACCCTATCCGTGCGACCTTCGATCGTCCCGCCATCGCCTGTTCCACAGCTTGTTCCTACTCCTTATACTCCTCCACCGCCTCCTCCACCGCCTCCTCCTCCAGGCCCCCGAATGCTGCCAGTGGTCCCTGGAGTTCCACAGAGGCCTTCAGAAGTCTAGTTAATTGTCTGGAAGCTTCCAGAAGCCAAGTGGCCAAACAAATCAAAGAATCGAGGTGCTCCTCCTCCTCCTCCTCCGCCTCATCATCATCATCATCATCATCATCATCATCATCATCATCATCATCATCATCATCATCATCATCATCATCATCATCATCATCATCATCATCATCATCATCATCATCATCATCATCATCATCATCATCATCATCATCATCATCATCATCATCATCATCATCATCATCATCATCATCATCAGCATCAGCATCATCATCATCCTCATCATCATCATCATCATCCTCATCATCATCATCATTCTCTTCGCTGCGTGAAACTGCAAGGCTAACCCTGAAAAGGAAGTACCGGCGCCCTCCGTGAAGTTCTGTCACAAACGAATTATTCCAGAGAGGGGGAATACCACCGAAATCACCCACTGATGATATCGTAGCACACAAAAGAATTAGTTGACCTGGGGAGGGGGAGCAGCGAATTCTCTGGAACCGTCGGGGATCTTTCAAGGACCCTGCAGGACTCCTCAAGAATGTTTTAGGAGTCGTTTGGGGCTCTTCCAGGAACTTTCGAAATCCTTTGGAACCTGAAGGGACTCACACAAAGCCTTGAGGAAATCTCGAAGACCCCTCAGGAATCCCCACAATACCTCCAGGATTCGGCAATAAAACTGCAGGACTCCCAGGAATCGTTCGGGAATCCCACAAGAATCCTCAGGAATGTGTCGAAATCTGGAGGAATCAAAACCCGACGGATCTCTCAGGAACCCCATGAACAACCATGAACTTTTTCAGGAATGATCGGGACCTTTCAACAACCTGCAAGAATCTTCATGAATCCGTCCAGGAATCCGTCACGAATTATTTTCGGCTCCTGCAAAATCTTCACAAACCCTACGGGTGCTGAAGGGGCCCGCAGGAAGCCTTGAGGAAATCTTGAGGAACGCTCAGGAATCCTCACGACTGCTCCAAGAGTCTGCAGCAAACCTGCAGAATTCCTCCTGAGTCTTTCGGGAAACCCACAGGAATCCTCCAGAATCTATGAGGGCCTGGAGGATTCCTTTGGAACCGAAAAAAACTGATCTCTCAGGAACCCCACGAAGCCGCAGGACTCTATCAGGATCTTCGGGATCCTTCAGCTACTGGCAAAAATTCGCAGAAATCCTCCAGAATCCTCCAGGAATCCTTCGGAATCCGCAGGAATCCTCACACGCTTGGGACAATCTAGATAAAACGCACCTCCATCCTTGCCCCAATCTCCATCCTCGATCCTAAGACTCCCACTGAATCCTTTCACTCTGATAGCACCCTTCAACGACTCGACGCGAAGGGCTGGTTGAGGAGGCACAAGCCAAAGTTGCTGCCGACGTGCCCAATTTAAAACTGAATTCGGGCCTGCCCCAGAAGTCCTTGCTCGGGCCCACCGGCAACAACCTCCTCTCTGCGAGGGGCCGCAGCGGCCTCAGGCTGACGGCGCCACGCCCGACGCCTCGAGCTTGTTATCTGCATCATGAAGGCTGGAGACGACGCGCTATTCTGACGGGGGCCAAGGCTCTGAAGACATGCGTCCGAAATTCCAGGATGGCTTCTTCCGGACGGCGCGGGCCGCAATCGCCCCCAAGTCCCCCGCGGCGTTCTCGAGGATGGCGCGGCGAGCGCTGTCGCGCCTCACGTCGCGCAGAGCGCAACGCGCCCGCGCGACGCGCGAGATCCATGAGCGCTCGAATGACTGGACTGCGCCGCTGAAGGCGCTGCTGAACCGCCCTGGCCCACCCGAGCCCGGGCGGCCATCGAGCGACAGGCCTGGCAGCCCCCAACTGTGGACCAGAAAACAAACGACACCACCCCACGTACGGCCCCACGGGCCGTAGCGTATACCTGGACATCTGGCGTGGGTTTTTGCATGGTATACGCTACGGCCCCCGATGGGCCGTGACGCAACGTGGAGGGCCGTGGGTGGGGTGGTGTCGTTTATTTTTTGGCCGAACTGAGAAGTCGCGAAGCCCCGAGCGGGCGCCCTTGCTCAGAAGGAGGCTGGGGGCCCATCAAAACCTAGAAAGGGCGCTCGGAGGCTCCCTGAAGGCCCTTGCTCGGGCTCGATGGGCTCGGAAGTGACAAAACACGAGGCCGACGGGCACCTTCAGCGCCGTTCCCCTGTAGATGTTCACCGGCGCTGCACGTGTCGAGGCGGCGGCGGGGGGCCCCTGAGAACTCCATGGGCCCGGGCCGAAGGTGGGCGTTCGAGCGAGGATGGAGGTGCTATATTTCAGGACTGCCCCAGGGCTGCGAGGATGTCTGCGGGCCCTCCAAAGTTTCATGGGGAACTCCTGACGACGTCTGCAGATTGCCGGAAAGGGTCTCTGTGGACTCTCGCCGGCCCCTGAAGGGTCTTCGAAGAATTCCTGGAGTTCCCCGAGAAGCCCTGCAAAGCTCCTGACGATCCCCAACGGATTGCTGAGGACCCTATGGACTCGTGAAGATTCCTGGGGGGGGGCTGAAAATTTTCTGGGGATTCCCGAGGGCGCCTGGGGATTCCTGGGGATTCTTTGAGATGCCTTAGGGTTCCTGGTGGATTTTTGTTCAAATCCTCTGGGTTCGTGAGGATTCCGGAGGATCCAAAGGATTCCTGCAAAGGATCCCACGGATTCCCACGGGACCGCTGCGGGCACGAACACCCAGCGCCGCCCAGCGACAGGCGCGCCCGGGACGGGGGGGGCGGGAGAGGAAGGCACCAGAGGAGAAGGCGGAATATAATCAGGAGGGCAGAAGGCCCAGGTGGGCGGACGAGAATGAGAGAACTGAGGGGGGGGGAGAAGGCAAACGAGCGTGGGGAGGAAGGCAGGCGAAGAGGAAGTGGGCGGTGCGCGGAGGGGGGCGACCCAGAAGATCCGAGGCTGGGATACATATATATATATATATATATATATATATATATATGTGCATACATACATACATACATACATACATACATACATACATACATACATACATACATACATACATACATACATACATACATACATACATACATACATACACACACAGACATACATACATACATACATACATACATACATACATATATACATACATACATACATACATACGTACGTACATACATACATACATACATACATACATACATACATACATACATACATACATACATATGTATGTATGTATGTATGTATGTATGTATGTATGCATGCATGTATGTATGTATGTATGTATGTATGTATGTATGTATGTATGTATGTATGTATACATATATGTATAGATCAACACCCACCCTGCCTTACAGCTCCCATGCGCGCATGTACCTGGCAGAGCCAATAGATGGACCCCAAAGATACTCCGACGTCGCATCTTCACCGTCAGCAACGCCCGGCAGGATGCAGACGGCCGAGCAAGCCAGGCGCGCGGGACCGCACAACCCCGAAGCTCCCGCATGGGAGCACGCCCAAGCAATTCGTGGCTTGCTGATTGCACCAGCCCCGCGGCTCTCATCGCTGGCACTGGAGTGGCGACGCGGCGCCTGTGGCTTCTCCCCTAGAAATATGAAAATATTTGGTGCCCTGGGTTTGGTGGGTACATACGTCGTTTTCCTGAAACACGTGCCACAGTTGTGGTCGGGTATATATACTTTCGGGTGGGTGTACACATGCGCTTGGGCGGGTGCACATCGTACTTTCTGGTGGGTTGTGCATGCACCCGCTGGCCTGCGGAAAAACTAATCGCCTCTAGAAGTACCGCGCACTTGCGTGGGACAGTATCGACCGCGCCAACGACCAGGAGCAGAATCGTGAACGGCGGCGACCCCTGCGGCCGCGTGCCAGCGCCGGGAACGCTGGACCCCCGCGAAGGCTGTTTCCGCGAAGCGTCGGCAACAGACCACCTGCGATTCCCCGCGCTCGGCATGGCAGGGCCCCGCGGCAAGCGTCACGCCACAACTGATGAAATAATGTTGGCATCTGTACTGCGGGGTGGGAGTCGTAATGCTGCTCCCGAGAGG